TGCTGAACCTGTAAGGCACAGCACAGAGCCAGCCAGCCTGACCACTCGGGGACACCCTCCCCCACCACCTCACAGGGCTGCTCCCCTGACACCCTGTCAGAACCAGCATGAAAAGCTCTGCTTTAGGCTGGCTCATTGTCCTTGCGTGGGGTGGGAGGTTCTCTCCTTGAACTGCTTTAATGGAGATACCCCTTTCTCAAGTCATCCCCCCACCCCATACTTGAATGGTAGGATATGAGGACACCCTACCTCAAGCTCCCAGGGGATCCCAGGTGAGCCTGGTTCCTCACCTGACTCTTCTGGATGACAGGGGACCTGAGTTTCTTGGCCCAGCTGCCACTGTCTGTGAGCTGTTAGGAAGGAACAGCTTGCAGGGGCAGAGAGCCCAGTGGCTACCCACAGGGGCTGGGCCGGGGCCTCCTGCCTGTCCCAGGGCACAGAGCAAGTCAGGGCGGGAGCACCTGGTCCTGCTCCCCTGAAGGCCATTTGCCTGCCCCCGCAGTTGGGAGTGGTCATGGAGAGCCCACGGGAAAGGAGGGGACCTTCCCAAGACGGGCTTTGACACCTGGGGTCCCTGGAAACGCCAGGAATCCTGGGATGGGGCCACCTCTTCTGGTGGGTCTCAGGAACAGAACTGGAAGGGAAAAGGGCCTTCCCTGATCCAAACCCTTCATAGACTGAAGCAAGGCAAGGGAGAGGCCTGCCAGGGCTGCCCAGCGGGGGAGATGGTGGTAAAACCTGGGTTTAAACCAGAGCGTCCCGACTCCCATACCGGCATGTATCAGAGTCTCACTTGCTGAAGAGCAGTCTCAGAATCACTTGGGGACCTGGCCAACATCCATATTCCTGACACTCAAAATCACTCACTCAGCTCTCAAAGCCTGAGAAGCATGGGGACTGGAGGGCAAGGATGCCAGCTGCAGGCTCGAGGAGTCAGAGCAGCTCAGGGAGAAGAGCTAGAGCCACAGCCAGGACCACCAGATTCTGATTTAGCAAAACCCTGAGAGTGAGGGGCTGCGAGGTGGCATGGTGGTTAAGACACTGGACTCCCACATGGCTGACCTTGGTTTGAATCCCAGACCTGGTGGCTTTCTTTCTCACTTTCCCTCTCTTTTCTCTCTCTCTCTGACGAGCACACATGCCCTACAGCAAATTAAAAGACAATAATAAAGGGACCAGCAGGTTGCATAGTGGTTATGTCGATGGACGCCTATATGGCCAACGAACTACAGTTCAAGTCCCAGACCTGGTGACTTGAAAATCACACCAGGCATTTGTGCATGTGTGCCCAAGATCCAGGGAGGAGAAAGGCGGAGAACGAATTGTGGCATGGCCATTCCCTCTAGGGGATGATTTCTCATTTTCCCTCTCATTATCTCTGTCTCTCTATTTCCACCAGGCACATGTGCCCTAAGGTAAAAACCTCTAAAAAATTAATTAAATCTGAATTTCAATAAATGTTTTAGAAAAAATATAACCCAGGGGTCAGCATGTGGGGGGGGGTTAAAGTACTGGCCTCCCACATGGCTGACCATGGTTTGAGTCCTGGACCTGGCAGTTTAATTTCTCTCCCACCCCCGTCTCTCTCTCTCTAGTGAGCACATGTGATTTACAGCATTTTAACAATAATAATAATTTATAAAATTAAATATAAAAGAATAAACATATCCCATATATTGCATGAGATATACATGGGGCCTTCAAATAGCTCCTGGAAAATGTGTGTTATGGGAAAACTATGCATGGATTTAAAAAATTTTACACCAAAATAAACTTGTACTTTAATTTCATTTTTCCACACACTTTTGAAGTCTTCTCATACTTAGACTACTTCTTTATTGTAGGTGAACGTGAAGTTTATACTAACATTTAATTTTCAGGATCGTCACATCCCATGCAATATTTGGGACATACTTACACTAAAACATTTATCATCATTTCTCTGAGATTCAGATTAACTGGGCCTCCTGTATTTAATCCGGCAGGCCTGTCCACGAGTGTGGGGCTGGCAGTCTACACCCATCTCCCGGGCAGTCCGGGGGAACTCACTGCAGACTATCACGGTGTTATTCTCGATGGTGTAGTCGTAGTGGTCCACATAGGGGCGGCAGCCCAGGTCGAAGAGCTTCTGGTAGCAGCAGTCGTGGGCGTGGCAGCACCTAGGGGCGGGCGGTGGTGAGCAGGGAGGTGCAGCAGCTGGCCCATCTCCCACCCACAGAGGCCTTCGAGCATCTTCTCCGCTCCCTCCAGGTCAGACCCTCAGATCGAGGACCAGAGAGGGTTGGCTGCTTGCCTGAGGTCGCACCAGCAGACAGAGCTGGGACCTGTGACCTGGGTTGTGATCCTGCCACTTTGTCCTGTCCCCAGGGTGCCCTGCTTTCCTCCCTGGAGCCCTGGATGCAGTTGTGAGAGGGGTCAGGTGGTCCAGTGGTGGGATCAGGGTAGGAGGGAGGGGCCTGAGTTTAAGGCATGTCAGAGGACCACTGATGGTACACAGTGGCTGTCCCTGGCTGGGCCCAGTGGCCAGGGAGAGGCCATGGTCTGGAGGGCCAACAAGGATTGGGAGGATGAGGGACAGGACACAAATGTATCGTGGCTGTTCTCATCGCCTCCAGCAGAGTCCTGTGGTCCCTGTGCGTTTATTAGACTCCCAGTGACACCAGACTTGGCAGAAGGCAAGCCATGGCTACTGGCAGCTCCAGTCTGATGGAGGAAGCACAGTCCTGTCCTCCAGACCCTCCAGGCTGATGGAGATAGGTCACAGTCCTGCTGAGCATGTCACCTGGGTGACCGTTGTTCTCATGTGCTGGGGGACAGGCAAAGGCTCCTCCTTGGAGGGGGGCTGGTAGAAGTACAAGACCTGAGACCTCGAAAGCAGCAAAGCTAAGGGGGACACCATCAAAGAACAGGCTCTTGGTCACTAATTCATCACACGAGCCTGATGCCTCAACTTCTCAGAGATGGTCAGTCTGACCTCCCGCTTCCCCCACCTGGTCCCGACCGGAGCCCCAGTCCTCCTGCACCTACCAGTCCACCTCGTCCATGGGCCGGCCGCGGCCTCCCAGCCCGCAGTAGCAGCCGTAGCCCACGAAGGACAGGATGGCGTTCCTCCCGGTGATGACCTCCACCATGGACTTCAGGTTGAGCAGGCTTCCATGGGCTGCGGACAGAACTGTGAGATGGCCCAGGGGCTGCTGTGGTTATCCCGCTTCATAGACAAAGAGAGTGAGGCCCAGGGCCCTTGGCAGCTTGCCTAAGGTCACGTTGTACAAAGGCGACAGAGAATTTGGACCCAGGTAATGAGGATTCCACAACCACAGCCTCTACGTGCTTCTCTGAGAGGGGCTGCCCAAGTGCCTGGCACACTGGACGGGGCTTCTGCATGCCATCGCTGCCACGAGCCACAGCGTAGAACTCTGAGCCCTTCCTTTGCCTTCCTGACCTTGACCTGCTGCCTCTGTCCCTGTGAGGACTCAGGGTTCCCACCGCAGTCCTGGGGCTGGTGCATCTCACAGTTAATCCAAAGGACATTTGGTGCTCTGGTCATTAAACAAAGATACAGAGGCCGGCAGGTGGCGTGGTGGTTAAGGGCATTAGATTCCCTTGTGGTCAACCACAGTTTGAGTCCTGGACCTGGTGGCTTCCTTCCTTGGGGGACCAGCAGTTAGCGTAATGGCTATGTCGCTGGACTCCCACGTAGTCGACCGCGGTTCGCATCCTAGACCCGGTGGCTTAAACTCACGCTGGGCATGTGTGCGTGCGTGCCCA